AAGCACGATCCTGGCCTCCCAGAGACGTTGCCAACATGCAATGCTTGGTCTGTTTGCAGAAGCAAAATGTCCTTTCCAGAGCATGGATTTGGAGGAGGACTTGAGGGCTTTATTCCAGAATCAGTCTTCCTCTTTTGAGATACCTGGCACATACCCTGCATTCACACTAAACGGCATGCAGACAGAGCCCCTTGTAACCAAGACAGCGTGGAGCGCACACGGGGAAGATTCGGGGCTTTAAAACCTACATGCATGCAATTTCTCCCTCTCCCCTCAGTTTCTTAACTTCAGGCCCTCAACCCATGATTTCTGAGACCGCTCTTGGCACAAACATCAAAGACGATATTCCAACGCTCACCGAAAACCCAAGGCGGAGAGCAGCTTGCTCTCCAAACGCAGGTTGCTCCAGAATTAAAAGCAGCAAACGCTTCCAAATTAACCGGCTTGTCAAAGCGTGTTAAGGAGAAATGCCTTCCAGGCCCATACGACAACGCTCCCTAGCGAAGCGCGTGCCTTTTGATTACCTGTTAAGTGACAAATGTGGCTCCAAGGAGGCCTCCTCTCGAGGTAGGACGGCAGCCTGTTGGCACTCCCATGCTTCGGTTGGGTAGCAATGGCTAGCAGGATAACTCTTTAGGAACTGTTTAAAGAGCCGGAGCTTTGCAGCCAGAGGGTTGCCCAATAAATGCAGAGCAGATGAATTCAGCACCCACGTGGCTGCCTCCCTCCGCATGCCAGCTCCACGCTGACAAGCTGGAAGGGAATTCAAGAACCAAACTCAGAGCCGACCAAGGCATCAGCCTTCGTCCCCTGTCGGCGCACGGAGGGGACCGATTGACAAGCACCGAGCAATTATGCTAAGCAGAAAGCTTGTTGTGGCCAGATGTGCCACCTCTGGCAGTGTCCCTTAAGCCATTTCTAGGGCTGGAAGGAGATGAAAACCCTCTGCTGCGTCCTGTTCAGCAAAGGGATGCTGGGGCCAACGTTCAAAGGGAAAAGTTGCACTGTTGGCTGCATGTGACCTTGCCGTGGAGCAAGGGGTTGTCTGCACTCCCCGAACAAAGCCAGGCATCTGCTGAAGACTGTATTCTCCTCCCTGCTTTTGGCAGGCGTTTTTTCCACCTCCCTCCTTTAAGCCTAACAGTATGCAGAGAATAAATGACACTTCACTACAGCCCCTTTGAGAGGGAGACAGATCCAGCACTTCTACTGAAATCCAGCAACCCCCTTATTAAGCTACTGCTCCTTTCTTGGCCAGCACATTGCCCACCCCTTGAAAGCCTGGAAGGGAGGGATTACATGATTTACATACAGGTGTGCTACATCAATAGGAGCTGTGAAGTGCAGATGCTAAACACTTTTCAAGTGCTCCCCACGAACTCCAGCTGCTGTCAGCAGGAGCTGCAGGTGCCCTGAAAACTCGCGCTTCATTTTATTCCACCAGGACAGGTAGGGGAGTTACCAGATGCCACGTCTAAACCCCAGGAAAGCCTGGATGATGGCCATATCTTGCTGAAACTGGCAGTTTCGTGGAGGCGCCGAAGAGCACGGAAACTACCTTCGATTCCCTAGCTCCTTCCTATTTAGTCCGAGACTAATTTTATTTCACGTCCAGTTGAAACAAAAGGAGAGGGGCCTGAGCTGGTGAACAGGCAGACAGCAGAAGGGTGCCAGGTCCTAGCTCTCTGGGCTGTTGGTCTCTATCGGCTTCACTGATCGGCTTCTTAGTCTGTTCATCCAAAAAAGAGTCTCAAAAGACTAATTTGGAGTTTGGCTTGGGAACAACAACAAAAAAAATCAAGATGCTTTGAGCATTTCAGGCTCTCCTGTTTGTCCTTACGACTGGAAACAGTGACGCTCCTTAAAAAGGTACGAGCGTAGAACAGAACAGATTCCCATTCCTCGCTGCTGTCGTGGCCGTACCCCGGGCTGCTGCCGTAGCAAACAGGATTATTCTTCCACCTGGCTGCTACCTTTCCTTTGCTCTGTTGTGCAGTCTGTCTGCAGCCTGCACCCTCAGCTCTCCCCAGACGCAATATGCTGGGAATGTAATGCTGTGCCTTACAACGCCGTCCCGCTGCTTCCCCTTAGCAAGACGCATTGTTCCCGCAGCTTTTAGGCCCTACTTGTTTCTCTAGTATGTCAAGTGTTAAACATTTCCTTTCATGAAGTTTCGATGGAGACCACTCCGGTTCCATCTCAGTTGCTCGGCCAGCTCTCTTCCCCCTCCTTGGGTCTGTGTTGCTCTATAGGTCACCCTTGGGCTGAGCTGTCCAGTTAAGCACCCCAATAGTGACGGTCGCGTGGACCCTTCAAGTCTGCTTTAGTCTCAGACTGTCTCCTTGAAAGGAGAACTGGGCTGGTCACCCCCACACCAGGGCTCGGCGCTGCACCCAAAGGTGCCTCACCTGATCAGTGCCCTGTTCCTGGGATTTTAGCTCCTGCCCTGTTACCCATTTCCCCACCAGCTACATGTCCCCTCCTCAGCTGCACGCTGCAGCACTGGCTTTGAGGCAGGAAGATGACCCATTGCCACCAGGCCTGTAATGCTACTCGTTAGCCAATCAATCAGGGTGAAGGGAAAAGGAAAGGCGCTTATTTCACTTCGGGACTCCAAGTCACCTCCACCCCAAACCACGCAGCGAGATACCCCAGGGCCGTTTGCAGACCCATATCAGCGCCACAGCGAATGCATAACGCTGTCCGTGTCCTTAATGGCTATGGCTTTGCAAGGACAGTGGAACAAGACACACGGTCACCGCAGTGCTCGAAAATGGACAAATTCCCTGCAGACTCTTCCAGTATGTCACAAGTCCCTGCACAGCGCAGGGGACTCCAGATACTTGCTTCCCTTGCGGGGAACACCCGGCTCCGAGCAAAACTCACCTCCACACCACATCACATCAAGCCTGTCCGCTATGGGCCATCTTGTGCATGTCCAGTCATTCATAGAAGACCTTCATGCCTGGGTTAGGTCCACGCTTTGCTGCTGCTGTCAAGACCTGTTGGAGCTGGCAGCAGTTGCCACCATCCAACCACCAAAGCTCGCCTTGGTGGTTTGGGCACCTCCGCACAAAGGGAGCGGGTGGCTGAAGGCATGGGGGTGCCCACACACCCCTTTGGCCAGCTGCTGGCAGCATCAGAAACCTTGCCGTTTATAAAGAGGGCTCTGCCCCTGCAGAGGGACTTTGCGTGCAAGCTTGCTTGGAGCCGTGTGTAAATTAGGGCTACGAGGCAGCTAAGGTCGCAGAAGCCACCCCTCCACAGGCTCGGCTCAGGGCAGAGACCTTGAGGGTCTATCACAAGCAGCTCTGCAGGACCCCTTTTTGCTGGACAGCCTTCATCTCATCCACAGGGCGAGGATCCTTCCTGCCTGGTGTTTCTCCAGCAAGAATTGCTCCAGCGGCTAGCAGCACACCTGTGCGGGAAAGACATTGGCTTCTCTGCAACGCGGAAGCCGCCATATGGAGCTGCAATCTGGGTGCGCGTACTTGAACTTTTCCACTGCAATCAGGCAAGACAGAGCAGCAATCAGGCCAGCCCCAGGCCCAGGCCTCATCTGCATGATGGGATTTCTCCTGCAAGGTAACACAAGGCAGGAGCACAGCCAGTGCCGGCTACAGATGTCTGCACCAATGGTTTCTTGCTTGTTGAAAGCTCAGCTCTTCTCATGAGTCTGAATGGAGGGGTGCTCTGAAGGCCTACAGCAGTGCTTGCCAACGCTGTTAGACTCGAGGTCCCCCTCAGAAAACATCAGCGCTCTATTTTTACTTAGTCAAGAAACAAGTGAAAGCAATGGAGCCATGTGAAAACACAGCCACAACAGGACAGCATGTCCTGTCTGAAATCTCCGGGTTTATCCTGTGAATCATGCATAGGTGTTGGCACACCTGACAGTGCTAATATTGGACGGCACCCCATGGCACCCTTAAAAGCATCTTGCAACACCCCAGGGTGCTGCAACGCCGCAGCTGAGAATCGCAGACCTAGACACCGATGCCATCATTTGTCCAAACAAAGGTATGGGGCTCTTGTTGCCAGACTGAAGGTTAGGGTAAAGAAGTCAGGATCTATAACCATCAGAGACTGGAAAGGCAGCAGCCCATGTCACCAGGCCTTTGCTCTTTCTGAAAGGATGCACTAGTGCTGGCTTATCCCTCCCGTTTCTGCCCGTGTTCAAGGCCAAATAGAACAAGAAAGCAGCTTGTGTTTTGGGAAGGGAGAAGCTTTGTTGGGTGAGACTTGCTGAAGTTTTCAGGAGACAACAGACCAGCCTGTCACTCTTCCAGTGACTGCTCGTGGCCAAAACCAGGATGAGGGCCCCGCTCTGCTGGGTTGTGACCAGCACCCCTGCATCCATCTAAGTGCAAGAATGCAAGCAGGAAGGAGGAGGAGATCTTACTCCTATTCTGCAAGTGGGAAGTCAACCACAGCCATTAAATGGCTTCAACACCCATGTCGCAAGGCCCAATCCTGTACCCTGGCTGCACCTGAACACCCTCTCTCCCGAGCCCATCAAATGGACTGACTCCACTTCCAGCTTGTCCCACCACAGGGAGGACGCAGATGCGTAGAGCATGCAATCTTCTTTCCTCGACTGGGTGTTACCACCCACCCTCCCTCAAAAGCACTGCAGTCGCTTCCTCGGGGAGACTGGAATTCGGGCAGTCCATTTTAGTGCCGCAGCTGTCGATTTGCCGGCACGGACAGCAGAGAGTTGGCGTCTGTACTTGTTTCTGCAGGGGACTTACTGCTCTGGGGCCTGGTCTACATAAAAGCAGAAGCAAAACTCGGCGACCTGAACACTTGCTCGAATTCCACATGCCTGCCGAGGCGTCTCAGTCACACGAGCAGCGGGATATAAATGCCTAACAAAGCATTTGTAAAGCCAACCAACCTCCTCCCATGCACTGAAGCCTCTTGCCATACCCATGAGGCCCCAGTGTCAACTCGGTCTATGGCCCCTTTCCTCAAGTGCATCAAAAGACATTTTACCTGGCTCTTGGAAGTGCTCCTCGCTTGATAAGGTTCTGGATAAAATGAGGATCAGTGCTTCTTTAAACTGGTCAAAGTGAACCTGCAGAGAAAGGAAAGACAACGTGCAAGTGAATCAATCGGCTCGAGTGCAGCTCCTGCATAAAGGCAGCAATGATGAGCCACTCATTTCAAGCAAACAGCTCTCCATACCAAACCCAAGAGCCCCAGCACTTTAACTTGAGCAAAAGCATTGCTGCAAGAGTCATGAGTGAGCCCAAATCTTCTCTACCGAGCTTTGGGGGCAGAGGGGAAAATAACAGGGAACCCAAAGCTACGTCCTGTGCTCCTGCAAAGAGCCAAACGTACCTAAACATACAGGCATGTTACACGAGGTCCCACGGCTGCCCGGTCCGAGTCAGCTGGACTCTTCTCCTGAGCAGCACTGGTGCTTCCCAATGGACGGTTCTCAGAGCATCCTTCACGACGGCGAAGGATGCACCCTGAACACCGTCTACAAAGTGAGCTTAATTTGGACCGTCAGGAGATGTCTAGACAACCTCAGTTCCAGCCTCGTGCAGCTGTGTCCCGTCTCAGCACCCGGGATGGTGGTCTCGTTGTTCTTGGTATTTAAAAGCCTCAGTTACTTAAAAAGACCCCAAGGTCTCCTTCTCTCCATCCAAGAAGGGACCTCATGGTTTACCTTTACGGCTGTGGAGCAGGCAAGCGCGTCCCCACGGGATGTGCTTTGTGGGAAGGCTGCCAAAATTTTGCAGCAAAAACTTAGTCCTCTCTCCCCTCCGGGGAAGGATATTCATTTGCTGAGACCCACTCTCAGTTCGCCCCACTTCTCTCAGTGCATCTCCCTTGCGGGTCGATTGCCACCGCTCCACAGCAGCGTGGCCGTCAGAGAATAAGCGGGGTGGTGTCCTGTCGCTACCCCAGGGAGAGACCCGCAGTCCATTGCGGATGAAGAGTGACGAGCCATGCACACGAAGAGCCGTGATCTGCGGTCCGAGCAAGCCGGATGCTGCACTTGGGAAGCACCAGCGCTTTTCCGGAGCAAGCCGGGCACGCTGCTACTTCTACCTCCTCCCCAGAGGAGAGCAGCTCGCACTCACCCCGGCTGCACAAGGGACCATGCCGCTCTCACCGCAGGGGCTAGTTAGCGGCAAACATGACCCCTACTTTACATCCCTTCTTGGGCACACTCACCTTCCCAAAGGAAGCAGAGGAGGAGTGTGCTCAACCGTGTGCATGCATATCCATGAACTGAATAACTAGAGCTGAGGGAGACCCATCCAGCCTCCCAGGCAGAACAGACTCCTCTCTCAAGCCCATCTGAGACTAGTTTTATGGTCCGCGCTAATCTGTTTCATGAAACAACTGACATTTTCATGAGCACGAGGTTTCTGCTTTGAATGAAATATGGGTCTTCTAGTAGTCGCGCACAAGGGGTGCCAAAGAAATGCTTGACAGTCTTAATTACAGCTTCAGATAACAACCCCCAAGATGGATGGAAGAAAGACTCAGCTCTTGGCATTGCTGTTTCTAGGCCGCGAGCCGTCAGACTTGAGACCACCAGCAGCACTGTACTTAGCCTCCTGATGGCCCTGGGTGTACTTCTAGCATCGGGCCCTCCTTCACCAGAGAATGATAATAGTAATTTTAAAAGTTACTATTTTCAGGTCCTTTTTCTATCTGGGCCCTGGGTGAAATGGCTGTTTTTGGACCCTCTTTCTGTCTGGGCCCCAGGTGGCCGCCCGGTTCGCCCATGCCCGTGTTCATCCCTGACCACTGGCAGCCAGTCCATCTTTGCTGGGTCACCGACAGGACCAGGAGGCACTAGTTTTAAACGCAGTCAAGCTAAAAAGCAAGGGAGGATGGTTGCACAGCTGGCCTGAATTCGTGCCGTCCCACTGTCCTTTCCTATCTGTGCCCCTTAAGCGGCGCTGCCCTTAACAGTTGTGGAGGGGGCGTAACGTTATCCGCAGGCGTATTTCAGCATGCCACTAATTCCAGGTAGCCAGGCTGCATAGCTGCAGCCAATTTACACAGCAAGACAGAAAAGAAAATCCCGGGACAGCTGGCGAGGTTATTTGACACGGGTCACTTGCAATCCATAGCTACCTTCTGCGAGCGCTCATTCAGCCCAAAGGAATTTGGACAGACGTCGTAGCGTGGCATCAAGGCTCGTCTGCCCTTTCTGAAAAAATCATCCTACGCTTACGAGCCGTGCGGCTCGGGTCGGGTCTACACCAGCCGAGTCGGCAGACAGGAATTCACCGCAGGTGCCGTTTTATATAACGTCCGCAGGACCGAACTGTTGCTAAAACGGGGGAGTGCTGCAGGTACCGAGTGACAGCTAGGAAGCTCGCTAGCGGATACACAGCGTAATCACACTCGACATGCCCTCCTGGCCAGTAAGAGATTTATCCTCATCACGGCCGGTCCAGAGGGCAAAAGTAAGACCGTAAGGGCCGCCGTACCATACACACGGCCATCACGGCGAACAGCCCAGGCCTTCTGCCACTCATCTTTAGCACAAAGAAACTCCGGACTGAGCCATTCACGTTATGCAAATGGCTGCTAGATTTCTCTTTTAAGCACATGCACAAGGAGTAATTAAACAGTTCGGAATACGCTCAGTAAAGAAACTTGTTAGAGACGCCTTCATCTGAATCTTAATTGCTGCCATTCATTTCCAGACGCTGGTGCACTTCAAAGGGCAGTTTATAGTGATGGGAGAATTTGCCTGATTAAAAAAAAACCAACAAAAAACTTGACATTTACACTAAATGAGCATGAATAAAAGATGAGGGAGTTAGATTAACAGCTCCCCCATGCATCACCCTTGTGAGGCGGGGAGGGGGGCTTAAACCCAGGTTGCGCGAGGAAGCTGACCCGCTGCTTCCAGCCACAAGCCCCGCCAAGCCAGCGGTGCAGCTTCTCGGGGCACGTTGCCTGCCCTCCCGCTGCCTGCGAGCAGGAGTCGGGCAGGGTAGCTTGGGAGCTGGGGTCCTGGACAGGGCTCTTTGTTACCCCTGCCACTCTGCTGGCTGCAATGCCTTGGCCGAGGCTGGGGGACATGCTGGAAAGTCCCAAACAATGAAAGCAGAAGCCCAAGCCCTCCGGGACACCCTGCTGCTTTGCCCTGGTGTACCAGAGAGCCTCCGAGCCCATAAAAATTCACAGCCGGGCAATTACCAGGAGGTGATCCATCAAACTCCTGGCGGGCCGAGCAGAGCCCCGGGTGCCAATTCAGCAGGTGTAAATGGCACATAATCCACTTTGGCTAATAAGGATTTGAAAAAGATACAAAGATCCCATTAGACCCGTCCTCCGAGCATCGCTTGCTGCAGCTTAACTTAGTTAAGGGCCTGCTCAGGCCAGAGAACAAACTCCGGCTACGTCGGGCCGAACGGCTGGGGCAAGGGAACAAAAAAACAAAAGGAGCAAGAAATGCACTCAGTGACGAGCAGGAATTACGCAGGTACCTCTCCTGGCAGCAAGGGGCAGAACAGCCCCTTTTGTGCCGAGGGTAGGTGAGGATAGCCAAGGAACAGGGAACGCGAGCAAATGAGCGTATTGTTCGTACCCAACAGAGCGCTCATTGTCTGGAGGGAAGCGCTACACAACACGCCACCGCTACGGGCTGGGAGACGGTCCTGCCAAGTCCGTGTTATGCAACAGGACGCATTTTATAAGAAGTGTTAATGAAGGGGAAGGACGGGGAGGAGAGACCAGTGTTCCCCGTGCTGCTCCTCTCCAGCCCAGCAGCTGCGCACGGGACAGATGGCTCTCGTTCCTGCCCCACGCAGCGAATTTACCATGACCGCATCAAACAGGACCCAGATACCTGGCTTCAGGGAAGGAGCCGGCGGGGTAAATGCAGCCTGAAAAAGCGAACGCTGCAAATCAACAACGCAGCGGCGTTTAAAATGCAGACCGCTGGTCCTGGGATCCGACACCGCGAGTCACAAGCCTGGTGCATTTGGGAGTGAAATGAGAGCCGCGGGTGTTCAATAAGATGTACAGGGACTCTGCTGAACGGCACAAAATTATAGAAGAGTCGGGCTTGCGGGGCCCTCAGGCGGTCACATCTAGCCCAGTGCCCTGCTTGTGTTAGGACCAGCCCAGTCTAAAGCATCCTAGACAGGCGTTGGTCTAACCGCTGCTCAAAGCTACACTAGCTACTCTACTGCACAGCTACCAGGCACCTTGTCCCCAAAACTGGGAGCACCCTAACCCTAACCGGATACAGGCACAGCAGGGGGAAGAGGGCACCGTCAAAGACCAGGGCAGCGACTGTATGTCCCAAAGCACAGACGCTGCACAGCAAAAGCACTTTGATGCATCGCAGGACATGCACCCTGGCCTGGGTCTTTCAAGTGACAACTTCGAACTCTTAGAGGCGCACGGGCAGTGGAAACCCTGTGTGCACCAAGAGGGGTTTCCTTTCATTCTTTCAACTGGCTTTTGTCTGAAGAAGAATAGTGTCAGGAAAACCACACAGGAGTAAAAAATTACCCTCTTCCTGTTCATGTTGCTTGTGCGGCCTTGACTGTTTGGATGAAAACCCTCCCTGACCATGCATTCCTCGGAGGCCACCCTGCCAAAAGGTTCAGGCCATTGCAATGGTTAAAAATGACCCCCCAAACCAAATGCACACAAGAGGTTGGGCTGGAGAGCTCCTAAGCCTGTGCAAGCTCTTCAAGGATGACTCAATTTTAAGGTGACAGCACCCCTTCTGCAGCTCTTTGAGGTTTTATTGGCAGCAGGTTAGGGGGCTTCCAGTGTCGTTGTAGTGTGCAGCACAGTAGATTGGGTAGTTTCAGGGCTCGGCTAGACAAGGGCTCGTATGGGATGATTTGGGCAGGGATGACCCTGCCATGAGCAGAGAGTGGGCCTAGACGTGACCTCCTCAGCTCCCTTGGAGCCCTACTTTCCAGGACTCTAAGCAGTCCACCATGTCGTGCAGCCGCCAGGCTGTCATGGACAGCCATCGCAGTATTTATTAAGGAGTGATACAGCTCGAGAAATGTGACAGGTAGTAATGCATTGCGTACGAGCCAGAGATCCAAACCAGCCCCAAGGATCTAC